CGATGTTCCGATCGGCAGCGCTGAGTCTTGGCATTTTCGAACTTGAACATTGTTGACAATGGAATGACAAATTATTGGCTTATGCTACCCTTTTTATAGCCACTACTACGAGTTACGAATGTATAACTTGCACGTGCATTTTGCTCTACTGTTTTGCCCCATGACATTTTTGCACAAGTGTGAAAACAATGCCGTTTAAGACATTGCAGATCCACAATGGCTGCGTTTTGAACTACATACTACCTGTGCGTTTCTTTTTTTGAGGAGTTTACATGTTACTTAAGTTATGAATAGTGACAGTGTTGCATTAAAATATTGTCTCTATTTCATTTCAAGATATTGTATTCTGGATTTACCAGAGGTAACATTGTTGCATTAACTATCCTTTTGCTTGGTCACAAACTTCCTCAAGTTTAATATATAAACCAATAAGAATGCTATAAAGGTTTCATTTGAATTCCAGGTAAACATACAGGTCTGACTATTTGAGGTGAGGTGAAATTGGGCTTAACGTCGCGTTCAAGATTAATGCACTTCAAAAGCGACGCCCTTGCACGTGTGTGTGTGTGTGTGTGTGTGTGTGTGTGTGTGTGTGTGTGTGTGTGTGTGTGTGTGTGTGTGTGTGTGTGTGTGTGTGTGGCTTCTTGTACTAGTACCGATTTTTTAGTGCCATCCCACTGAGATACCTACCGCTATTTAATGTGAATACCCCACTCAGACACAGTATACTGTCTCCGAGCCGAGCCGTGCCTGTTTTAGACTCTTAATGCCAAGCGACGCCAGGCAGGTTAACAACAAGTACTATCCTTTATTGTCTTTACGTATGACGCGGCCGAGGATCGAACCCCGACCTTCCGCTCTACCACTTGACCACTGAGGCTAGCCTGCTGTGTCATACTACTAATAATTCGTATAGACGTATCACTCCAAGTATACTTGTTAATACTTTTGATTTGTTTGAAAAGGCACAACCCGTATAAACGTGTGTATGCATTTCTGTTTTCTTTTTTCTAGACAAGCAGGCGCCGTATGCCGTGGCACTGATGGTAGCACTGACTGTAGTAATGCTTGTCGCAACAGCTGTATGCTACATCTGTTACCGCATGGGTCGCTCCTCCACAAGGTAAGCATATATTCTAGTGTGTGTGTGTGTGTGTGTCTGTCTGTCTGTCTGTCTGCGTGTACCTGTCCGGACTAATGTCTATTTTATAGTGCTAGCCAATTGAGGGCCAGGCAGGTTTACAACAAGTGTAATCTTTTAACGTCTTTTGATATGACGCGGCCTAGGATCAAAACCCCAACCTTCCGTTCTCGGGACAGACGCTCAACCGCTAGACCACGGAGGCGGTGAGCATACGTTGGGATAAGTTAGAGAGTTTTCCCGCATGCCTATTCAAGAGTATCCTCGCTTCGGCCCATCCTAATGACCGAAAGGGAGAATTGCATATAACATTTATTTAACACATCATTGTAATCCCCTTTCAATGATCGGCCAATTGATAAAATGATGAATGACACATGTAATCGCCACAGGTTCATGAACACCTCCGGAAATCTCTGTCATCACGTTTATCGTGTGGGCCATTTTGACTTCCTGAATTTGATGTAAACGTATGGTGACGCTCTGTCACTGTGACCACGTGAGTTCATCGCAAGCTCCGACGTTCATACAGTTTGGCTCTCTCTCTATGAAGGTTCATGCACACAAAGTCAATTCTTAAATATACGACGGACGGTAGAAACTACGTGTACAGTATAACGTGTCTGAGTTGGGTATCCATGTTAAACGGCAGCAAGGTTTATCAGCTGGCAAGCACTATAGCTTTAATCCGGACAAGAACACACACACACACACACACACACACACACACACACACACACACACACACGTGATACACGCGCGTCGCAATGTAAGTGAAATAATCTTGAGAGCGACAGATGCTGCAGTTCTTGCACCTATTGCTTCTACCTTAATAATATTAAAGTTATAAGCACCTTCGGTTACTGTTCGGGAAAATATGTGCCCAATGGTAGACAACTTTGAAACAGAAATGCCTATGCCTCCGATGCCTCGGTCCAATGACCTTGATCTTCTATCTAATTCATGAGTCGCCAGAAATTTAGATTGGGAGTGAATGATAATTGCTGAATGCCCAATCAGCAATATTGCAATTGTAATTAACATACATCTGATTTAAATTGGGAAAATAAGTTCATACGTCAGAGGACAAAATATACTTCGCCTTTTGAGCCACTAACTTAATGTTATTGTAAACTAAGCTGCATATACCTATATAAAGATGTTTATAAATAACAAAGGTGTGAAACAAAACATAATGAAAGGACTTCCAATACGACCAGAAAGCTACTCACTCACCCGTTTGACAGGACGCAAACCCTTATTCATTCTACTTTAATTTGTGCATTATATAATAGATCCACCTATCAGGAGAAATCGGGCTCTTCGCAGAATACGGATGAAGGAGGAGAAGTAAACTTACCACCTGGCAGGGATGCTGCTACAACATCGAAACAACGCAACTCTGAACATGATTACCAGGAGATCGATACAAATGAAATGGGGCCAGTGATTGTGTTTCTCTAGACTTTGGTCAAGCGATGTTTTTATTTACGGATCCGGTGATTTGAGAGTTTTTTTTATGTTTCCGCAGAATCTGAAAGCCCCTTTAAGTAATCAAATATGTAACAAAACGTGTTCATGCATGTCCGGACACAAGCTATAAATTCACCACGAGAGCATGTTTAAATAATTGTTCTGGAGTTTAGCAATCAAGACCTTGAATTATAAGTTTATCTTTATGATACCTACCGACCGCATGTCCCGTAAACCAAATGCTAAAAATGGCCTCGTAAGTGAGGGTTTGTAATGAAGGAATGTGTTTTGCTTAAAACAACCTATATCAGTCAAGAAGCATACCGAAGAGAATTGTTTCTCGACCCTACAATCAATAGATACAAACATAATAAAACCCAGGTGTGAGTAATATGTTATATAGTGGACGAACTCCGATGGTGGAACATAATTCATCGGGGAGAAACTTTGAACCTACAATCAACAGATTCTTACAATTGTAGAGCCCTAAACGACATACTCAACTTATGCCAATGTGTCCATGTGGCCTTACAATTTAATAGACCAACGGTAATTTGTTAGATACCCATAAAACATTCTATGCATATTTTACGCATGTTGTTTTGTATTTTTTTCCCAGAGGCTTAAAGAAAAGACGTTTGTATATACAAATTTGTCATACCATATTTTAGTTACCTTTTGTTCATGTATATTGTGTCGGAAATATTGGTAAAAAGTTTATTTTGTATGTGTTTTGATTTCTGTCGTAAGTTATCATACGTACATGTAGTATGCTCCTGCTTCCATGCTTATTAGAGAAATTGATTATCCATAGCACATAGGTGAACAATACAAATGAAGTATATGCACTTCTTTTTCTCCAATATGCACTCTCCAAAAAAGAAGATACGCACAGGTAGATTTTTAGTAAATTTATTGTACCTAATATAGTCGATATATTTGATTTAATATCATAGACACAAATATGAATTTTTGGAGCTCGATAGTCACATGTTGTCGTTAACAAAGACATTGAAAACTGTTCATTGTCAAGTCACATAAGGCCACAAGGTTGCGCTGAACTCAGTATCTTGTGTGACCGCCCCGGGCAGCATTTCCTCGGCACTGACTGGATAAGTGTATGAATTCTGTCATGCGGAATTCTGCGCCATTCTGATTGTAACGCGTTGGTAGTTACGTGAAGGTAGTCTACCGTGACACGAGCTGTCTGCGGTGGAGCGTTGTCCTGTTGAAACAGCTCCCCTGACGGTCAATGATTGGAAAAAGATGAGGTTGAAGAATTTGATTCATGTAGCGATGTGCTGTCAAATTTCCCTGAACCACAACCAAGTCAGATCTCGTGGTGTAGGATATGACCCCCCACACCATGACACTACCGCCACCGTCGAATTCACGTGCACAATGTGGGGCATACGCTCATTTTGACGACGATAAACACATCGTCTTCCATCTCGCCGGTGAAGAAGAAATCGTGATTCATCGCCAAGCCACACTCGTCTCCAGTTTCGCAAATTCCAAGGCTGTAAGGTAGGGGCACCAACGCAAGCATCGCTGTCGATGGATCTGTTGCAAAACAGAGACGACAACTGGTCTTCTGGGTCGGATTCCAGCCTCGCGAAGATGATTCCTGACATATCCTCCTCAAACCAGGGATGCGATCTGCAGTCTCCGTAGCTGTGGCATTGCAGTGACGTAGGTTGAACATTCGAATGTAGCGACCCTGTTGAGCGGTGGTAACTCTTGGTCGGACGGTCTGCAGTGGAATTGAACTGTGTGTATCGGTCGCAAAGGCGGCAAATGGTGCTGTGGTGGACGATGAGGTGTCATGCAACAGAAGACTGCAATTCCCCTCTTAGGTCCTATGGCGATGTTCCGACATTTTTTGACAAGTGTGAAAACAATATTAATGCCGTTTAAGACATTGCAAATCGACAATGGCTGCGTTTTGACGCACCGTTTGTCGAATATCAGGCCACCAACATATATCCAATTTATATACCGGATTTTTTGTGTAGGCAGGTTCAATGAACTCCATACTACCTGTGCGTTTCTTTTTTGTGAAGAGTTTTACTCCCTTATCTGCCAATGTTTCCTAAATAAATGTTACTATACCTTTGTGTCTAAACATCAGGAAATCTGACACAATGGTTTAATATATCTTATTAGGTATGTTACAAGTTATTTTTATACAGCGTACGTATTTACGTGTGGAGACGCGTGCGCGATATTGTCGTGTCCTGCTCAAGCAGTAAGCGCATCATGTTGTTGAAGTTCTAAATTGAGCACGTCTAGCATTGTGTGACACACGAACCCCTTACAACTTGACACTGACAGGCACATTACATTCACAAATAGACCACTCTTGTAAAGGGGGATTATACACCAAGGGACGTGAGGGAGAGCAGATAGTTTGTGCTCGTGGTGGATAGCTCCAGGTAAACCTTTCTTGGCTGTTGTAACTGTATTCCTAAATGCGAACCCGGTAAGTGAAATCTCAATGTTTATCAGGGTTTAGTGGGAGCATAATTATCAAAGCGAGATTATAACAAGAGGCCAATAGGGTCTGTATCGCTCACTTTGATATTTACGCAATCATGACAAAATTATACATTTATATTGTACATGTATGCAATACTGAAAATATTTCGCAATTTTGACCCTGTCTGCATTTAAAAGGGGTGGATGGCAAATCTGACAGCATGAACGTGTACTTCTCTAGATACAAATGTAGCATAAAGATCTGAACCGTTTCCATGTTATGATCCAGGATCTAAGTTTCCAGAGGCAAGGATGGACCCCAGAGCGAATCCTATTGGCATAAATGTATTATTCTCTTTATAACAAACAAATGTATACAATGTATATGTTTATGATAGGGCGGGAATAATATCGATTTGCATGTTATGGTCAAGGTTCTATCTCCTTTGGGAGTGCCGGACTGATAAACAGAAGGGCCAGTCCTGTTAGCATATGTGCATTCCTCTCATTATTCTCAGCAATTGAACATATGGTTATACAGTGGGGATCTTAACTGTGTCCAAGTTATGAACTCTTTTTGGCCCCGCTCCTCAGCCCTTGGGGGTCAGCCCCTCCGATGGTACAATTGTTAAGTCCCATCACCTGAGAATACTTCCAACAAAATATGATTGATGTCCATCTCTTAGTTACAGAGAAACAAGTCGTTTAAAGCAATATTGCCAAATTACCCCTATTTCGTCCTGCCCCTCAGCCCCTTGGGTGGTGATTAGCCCTTCCATTTGTACAATTTTGAATCCTCACTACCGGAGAATGCTCACAACCAAACATAGTTGATATCTATCTCTTAGTTCCCGAGAGGAAGTCGTTTAAAGCAATATAGCCAAATTACTCCTATTTGGCCCCGCCCCTTTGGGGGTCATCCCCACCATTTGTCGATTTGGAATCATCACCACCAGAGAATGCTTCCAACCAAATATGGTTGATATATATCTCTTAGTTCCAGTGGGGGGCACGGCTGGCCTTGTGGTTTAAGGCGGCGCGATTCGCTTCGCAGAGTTGCGTCCCTTTGGCACGCCAGAAACCTATGATTTGTGGGTTCGAATTCCGGTTCGCCCCGAATATGTTACTAGCACCATACCCGTACTCGTGGGTTTCACCGAAGTGGTAATATAGCGAAATTACCCGTATTTGGCCCCGCCCCTCAGCCCCTTTCGGGATCAGCCCCATAGTTTGTGCAATTTTAAATCCCTACCATCTAGAGATGCTTCAAGTAAAATTTCGTTAAGTTCCAATTAGTGGTTCAGAAGGAGAAGTCGTTTGAAAAAAATGTTGACTTACGGACGACGAACGAACGACGGATGGACGACGGACGCCACGGTCCTTCGGACCCGGTGAGGTAATAATAAGTCGTTAAAATGAAATGATAATTGTTAATACACAATTACAAATACACATGCACCCATACATGCTCGGACTCACGTTATAGTATATAACTATGCTAGACTCCGCATTCTAGTATCCGATGAAATATAGCTGAAGCTTTGATCTAATACATACATCAGTTTACGTTGCAAACATATATCACATTTAACCGTTTTTAGAAATGTATATGTAGATACATATTTAGGTATAAGTAACTGAACAAATCGCTGTGAAAGAGAACAGATTGCAAGAGGCACCCATCTTTACTGAAGGAAGTTAACGGTGTTGTTCATCGGTTATTATTGTCATGTGTTATATATTATCTTGCATACATAAACATAAATTTGTCGTTTGTTGAAAATTCAAAATGAAATCCGCTATTTACTCAAGTTGTAACAGGAAGAGGGTCCCACGTACGTGTATGGGTAGTTATTATCACATCTATAGACGGAAGGCGAGTGCAACTGCTTCATGTAAATATATTTGTTCTAAGCATATTCCTCAACCACAGTTTGGTACCTTAAAGATGAGTGATAAGAACGGAGTATTTGTTGTGTAAAATAGAAATTATTTATATCAGTAGATATTATGATGCAGATAGTATGTGTAATGCATCAGTTATAAGGTATTCTGCGAAATCAGGACCTGTGAAAATTACTTCTGTGGCACTACTGGTGATTTGCAAATGCATGTGCCTTAATACATTCTACTGCTATGCCTACAAATAATCATCTTATACTGCTATAATTAGCACTGTGTCCCCTTCCATCATGTTTATACAAAATACAAATAACTAAAGCATAGGCGTCGGGACATGACTGGATGTGAACCATAGTTACTTTTTGAACGAAATTCTGTCATGATTACATGAGTAAGTGTATATGTTCTTAGTGTGTGTAACACGAATTTCGCATAGAAAAGAAACAAATCATATATTATGATAAGAGTTGATTTGTATCTCGTCAGGAAGTGTGAAGCAGATTGATTAAATTCTCAATCAGTTCCAAACGCAACTCACATAATTGTCTGGCTTCCTTCACCATTCTCAAAGTCCGTCAAACTTCGTTGTCCAGTGACTTTTAGGAAAACTAGTGACCCGTATACGTTTTTCTCTAGACTTTTATCATGTATTGATCTGATACATGTTATATCATATATGTTCGCTACCAAATTATTGTTTGCAAATGTTTGTGTGACTTTGATTTGATTTGATTGTCAAAGAGACTTGTTTTAGGGATAGGCCACTACTTAACGCAGTTAGGATTATTCACTCATTAGAGTGATGAGTGAATTAACTCTCATGTGTTATTTGGCTCTCTATGCATCTTGTCAATATCTTGCTAAAGTGTTATTTCAGCTACTCTCAATTTATAACTGTTATAAGTTGCTTAGCCTAACGGCTTGTGTATTTGCCCTGATTCAATTAAACAGTGATCTTTGTCAGATCAGATTGTTTTTTATTCTTTATATTGTCGCCTGTTGATACAATTAGGTTCCCAGGTTTATTACTACGTTTTCATTATGACTATATCCTTGATAATGACACCCGGGTCACTGTACAGAGCTCCGTGACAAGAAGATAAAAGAAGGAAGGCATCAAATCACCCTCACCTAGCACTTGTATAGGTACTGCCAAGTTGCTAGATACTGCTCCCTCGAAGCGTCGAGAATAGTGTAGTTTTTCCTGAAGATGATAATTGAATATAAGCCCGCTCTCTGCACCGGTAGGTTAAGGAATGTGTCAATCGCTTGGACGGAGGTTGAACTGTAAACACTAAGGGAGGTCAACCTTTTACTCTAACTACCGTATCACCAAAGGTAAACAGAACACTTTGACATTTTATGAGCTCCTCAATCAATTTTTCTGCAACTTCGTTATCTCTGTTGGAAGAACGCAGTGGCGAGGCCTTTCAGCAAACTAGCACTTTTTGGCACATATAATTAAATATTTATATTTGTGCCACTTCTACACGTTTTTTTCAGCTGTGCTCATCATTAAGTTTGTTAAAAAAGGCACATTTATTCCCCATTATTCTAGCCATCGCTAGAGAGTTTCGATTATGTGCAGAAACATATTTCACAGGGAGCATTGAAAATAGTTATGAAAATTATACGAATAGACACAAAAAAATGATGACACTAGGTGTTCGCGAAAAGGTAAGGCACCGCCACTCATTCTATCCTAAAACATAATGGTCGATAACTCTCCTTTTGAAATTACGGTCCAAACTGTCGCTACCCTGCTCAATGTACTGCGGCAACTTCAGTCATGCAGAGGGGCGGTCGGGTAGCCTAGTGGTTAAAGCGTTCGCTCGTCACGCCGAAGACCCGGGTTCGATTCCCGACATGGGTACAATGTGTGAAGCCCATTTCTGGTGTCCCCCGCCGTGATATTGCTGGAATATTGCTAAAAAAAAAGCGGCGTAAAACCGAACTCACTCACTCTTCAGGAGACAGAACATAGATTTCTTGTCATTCGAGGCAATAGATTTGATTGCGCTTATCATCCTTCGATTTCTATGGAATGTCACGCCAAGGTAAACCTTTCTATCTGCTATCTCGAGGTGTTGTCCACCAAACATAAACTGGAGTTTACTTCGTTTAGCAGGGCCACTGCCAAATATAATAATTTTTGTTTTTGAAATGTTAACATCTAGTTTCCATTTAGTGCAGTACATTCTAAACGAGTCAAGAGTTTTTGTAAATCGGCGGGGCATCAACTAAATAAGACTGTATCATCAGCATGCAGTAAAATTATAAATTGTAATAATACGTTTGCGTCATCACTAAGATTATAATCAACATTTATACCGTGACAGTTATGTTCCAATAGAGATTGCTCGAGGTCAACACACGATTTAATACTGATGTATAGGTTTTTAATTAGGATGAGAAATTTACCTCTGACGCCACTTTTCAACAGTTTGTGACAAAGACCTCTTCTCCAAACTTTTTCAAAAGCATTGGTGAAATCTATAAAAGCACAATACAACTTTTGTTTGCTTTTCTTAAGTCTCTGCATTGACATTGATGATAAAGATCTTGTCTACCGTTGAGTAGTGTTTCCTAAATCCAGCTTGTGCGGGAGACAGGGTGTTATTGTTATCAGTGAAAGATGACAATCGTGTATTTAGTATACTCGTAAAAAGTTTCCCCAAGCAACTCAAAATTGTGATTGGTCAGTAAGTGTTCGGATCTTGAGGGTTACCTTTCTTTATAAATACAGGCTTGGTCACATCGGTAAGCCATGCATCTAGTATGTTTCCGGTAGTGAACACAGCATTAAAGTAACCAAGATATACACGGGTGATAATAATTCTAAGGAGTTCACTATATATTCATTTGCAATGAGATCAAAACCAAAATCTTTGTTATTTTTCAGGCTTTTGCACAGCTTAACGTATTTCTTCTATTGTTAAATCACTATTGAGCATTTCATCATCGTGCATAGTAGTATTTGGATATTCTTCATCAATAATTGTGTCTGTATCCATGTCTTTATTTATATCTCTATAGAATTCATAAAATGTTTTCATATCAGGCTCAGTGTTATTTACCTTACTCATATTTTTCTTCAGAGAG